CTTTATGGTTTGGTTTTTGCTAATCATGTTTATGAGTAGGAGTTAATTATGAGTAAATTGATTGCGAATGGTGCAGCCATTTAAGGTGCTTCATGGAGGGGTTTCAGCATTGATAGCAGAGTCTTTGGCAAGCATGGGAGCACACATGGCTTCAGGGTATAAAAGAGTGGCTGGAATTCAACTCAGCATCAACCATTTGAAACGAGCTGAGATGGGTGATTTGGTGCACGCAGAAGCTAAACCTTTAAATGTTGGCAAAACAATTCAGGTTCTTCCCTTCATCTTATCTTCTGTTGCTATTTTTGTAAATACCATAAAACTCAAATTCCTTATTTTCTCTATTTCTTTTCTCTGTGTATAATTTTATTCTCTCTTAAATATATAATTGTTTAACCCATCTTTTATTTAGAGTGTTTTCTATAATTATAATATATTAAAGTTGATAGGAATTTCTATTGATCTCTTTAATAATTTTATTTAATCATATTATTTTAACTATTAACACAAACTTAGATTTTGCCAAATTCTAGTGTTTATTTTAATTTTTCAAATATACTTTTTTGCCAGTTTAATATTTTTATTGTTCTGAGTTTTTTTGTCACTTATCATTGAATCCAATTTTTTATATATTTTTTTTTCTTTTGAGAGGATAAGATCACCTCTAATCTTTCCTATCTGTCTTCCATTTGTTCTTACTCACCTAAAACGACACACCGAATGAGACCACCTCTGTACCAAATGCATTTTTTTGACATTTTACATCATTTACAAGAGAAGATCCTCTTAATATGTTAATAAGTCACATCATTAATTCACACTTTCTTTAGTCACAAGATGGACATTATGGCATCTTGGCTCGTTATTCATCCGGAAAAAATCAATCGAATAAATTAAAATAATTGTTATATTTATATATTATATTAATCTATTAATTAATTAATAGCTAATATTTAATTTATAAGTTATTAATAATATGAATTATAATATCTTTTCATATTTATATTTTATATTAATATAATGTAAAAACTAATTTTTAAATTTTTTTTATTTCAATTTTTAAATTTTTTTTGGGAAAAAGTGAGTCAGAAAATAGACAAAAACAAACCGATATCATACCCAATGTGTCAATATTGAAAACTATCCAATCCTAAGTCACTTTACCACCCTTAATAGATCATATATAATATAAAAGTCGGTTTTAGAGGATGAATTTGGGGAGAGATGGATCTGAGAATGAATTAATGGTTGTTTTTTAAGTAGATTTAAAGGTGAGTGAAAATAGATTTGGAGATAAAGTTTGTGAAAATTAATATAAGATTTGATTGATGTAATAGATAAAAAAATTGTTTAATTGTTAAAAATTGAAGATTATCAAAATATAAAAAAAATAAAAAATAATTTTTAAAATGTAAAAAATGATAATTTAGTAAATTGTAATATATTATTATTATTACTATTATTAATATTATTATTATTATTATTATTAATATAAAAGACGAGAAACAGCAAATAAAAAAAGGAGAAACACCAAACTGAAACTTTGTTTCACACCTGAGAGTTATCAATTCTAGCAAGGGTAGACATGAGAATTTCTTATAATCGCTGCAAATCACACCTCAGATTGAAGAAAACAATAATCTCACATTCACTCGCCAACACAGACTTTTAATTTCAATCCGTCTTCACAAGTTTACGTGAATAGTAGTTTCTTTAGAAGTGAATAGACACTTAGAAAAATTCACCTAAGATTCTATCCAAAAAAAAAAACTCACTTTTATAAACTTCTAAATATTTGTATTTATATTTTAACATTTTACAATCTAAAATATTAAGAATTCATACTTAAAAACTTATACTTTATTGTTTAAATGTAATGACTTATATAAAACTCAATATTTTTATAACTTAAAAAATTAAGAAACTCATTTAAAATTATATTTGTAGTGTGATATATCTTAAATGTATAATAAAACATATTACGTATAATTTATAAACTTAACAACATTATATGTTATTCAATGTTTTTTAAAATGGAATATTTTACAGAAAAAACATTTAAGACCAAGCTGATGTATACTTAAACATGATCTAAAAGAAATCATCTGAGTACTATGTCAGTTATTAAGATTATATTAAGACTAAATTAGGTATGAGTAGTCAAATTAAAAGTATTTAATTATTAAAATAAAAAATAAAGCAATATAACAACAATAATAATAATAACCATAATAATAATAATAATACAACATATCTCAAAAATTTAAATGTTACGTAAACTAATGCCAGAATTAAAGACGTGAGCACAAATAAAATCACCAACACACTTCCCACAACAGTTACAAATTTTGAATTGTTGAATCTATATGGCAAACCTCATCGCAATGATCCCAGTTGACTGGATTGGGATGAAATCAGAATAATGTTTTTGTACAAGTTTTTCCATGGTGGTCTAATCTGCTATCTCAGTGATGAGTGAATATTTGTTGGCTAGGTATTATCATGAAATAAATTAAAGACTCTTCATTTACTTTGTCGTTGCTAAGGCTTACAAATATGAGAAATGAGAAATGTATGTCATAGCAGTTTTATCTGTAACAGGTATGGGAGGTGCTACTATGGAAGATTGATCCTTCAGACTCACAAAGAAGATCCTTGGTCTCATCTTCTAGAGTAACTCTAGTAACCAATATGCCTGTCCCAGTTAATGCAAAAGATGCTGCCGATCCATTAAAGAAGTTTGCAAAACTGTAAACATATCCATGACATTGTTTATTAGTGAAATTCAAAATCTGCTTGAATACCAAAGGTCTAAATGTTTACGTATCTAATGCTTCGATATGCACATTTTGATAGACATAGTACTTCATGTAAGAAACTATATCATATACCTGAAAAACGGTTCACATAACATCCCAGTCTCAAATACGCCAACTTTTTTAGTCAATACCCGTAAATTACTAATCCTCAGGATAACAGAGAAACCAGCAGAGAGCTTCTTTCACATTATTTGCAACATCAGCTTCAAAGTTAAAAGCCCAACATGTCCTAGAATCATATATCAGTATAAACTTGTAATTTCAATTTTCAACGGAAACCATGTGGCTGAAAATGCTGTACATCTATCCTGTGATTCCTATTCAACCAAACCAAGCAAGGTCAATTCTAGAAACATACGTTGGAAATGTTAAGATGTTGGGTGCTTCTTGCTAGAGGATTTTGATCTGACAGTGTTCATGTCCTTTGTTCCCATAGGAACACCAGCAGTTTTATGCCTAGCATCAAACATTAACATAACATCATCAGAGGTTGACTAACAACAGCAGCAAAAGCCAGTATTCACCAAAAAGAAGAACAAAAATTAAGCTAGAAAAACCTTAACTGTCTGAGAAGACTAAGTTGTTGGGTTAATTCATTCAGCTCCAGACTAGAAAGTTTGAGAGAAGATAAAGTCCCAGGCACCTCTTCCGAAACAACCTTTGCCAATTTATTTACTGAAGCTCCTAATCTTCCAAAAGCCTATGCAAGAAGCAAATATCAACCCTTTAAATTTTATCCATTCAACACATCACTGCACACATATGGGTTTCCACTAAAACAAATGACCACATATAAGCCGTATTTAGTGAGAACTCTTCATGATATAAACTTTTTTATATAGTATAATTTTAGTTCAAACCAGTAACAACTGTCGGACCATTCCGCATTCAACACACCACTACATACATCTAGGGTTAAAAGGAATAATCTACAAGTTAAATTTGTTAAAAACACTCTTACAATATAGCTTGTGTAAAATATAAGAAACATCCGCAACCGCAATGTCAAGCATTTCGGGTCTCCTCTAGAACATTTTACATCTGCAACCGTAATTGTCATCAAAACTCAAGGATTTTAGGTTTCTACTACATTGCAATCACAATTTTTTATCACATCAGCAGAATTTATCCCCAAAAAAAAAAACAGTTTAAAACCTTAAACAATCACCACGCCACAGCGGCAATTTAAAACTTTAACCAATATATTCACTTGTGCATGAGATAAATCATAACGTACAATTAAGGTAGGAATGGAAACCACAGCTACTGAGAAAAACGCACCAAAAGCCTGCAAGCCCAAAAAAACACAGGTTCAGTTTACTTGATTGTGGAACCAAAAATGCTTAAAAATGCAATTTTCATTCTCATTTGATGAGCAAATGGGCAATGATATATGATAGTACCATGGAGAGGACGAACAAGTATGATAGAAACCCCAATTCAGGGTTGGGTCGGAACCCTAGATTTTTTGCCACTTCAATGACCGGAGCTGCCTCGACCAACGTCTGCGAGGGTAGCGTAAAATCGGGTTTATGCTGTTCTGAGATTACCGGCTCTGGGATCGCATCGCCGGCGACCCACGTCGATGCAGCTGAGCTACTGACACGAACGGAAAACGGGGTACGTAAAGTGGCGGCCATTGAAACCCCGTTCAAGCTGAAAGGACGCAAACAGAGTAAATGCGTTTGAGAGAACATCGTCAATTTGATGCAAAGTTTCGGATTTTGCAATGAACTGGCTGAACACAAACTACTGTAACAAAAATAACCCACACGCTGATTTTTTTTCTCTTAATGTAATAGTAATTATTAATCATACATTTATCTGTGATAATTTGGAAAACAAAAATCTGACTTTCGCCTCTCAAATTAAAAAAAAATAGAATTTTTATCCATAAAACATTAAAATTGTTAGACTCAAATCAGTTGTAAACTTTAAAATTTAAATCTTAAATCATAAATCTAAGAACTTTAAGTGATTTTGTCTTTTCAATTTAATGTTTAACTACTAAAGTTTTATTTCCCAATTTTGACGAAATAATACTTTTTCCAGTTTTCAAGACCAAAACTATAATTATCCAAGATTTTCATGAGTGAAACCATAGTTAAACCTAGATATAATTGCACTTTTTTTCTTAATACTTCTATACTTTTAAAGTAACGTTAGCTTAATAAAGAAAATACGATAATGAAGAATAAAAATATACATATTATATGTTTGATTTCAAAATATATACTATAAAACACCACAAATTAAATGAAGACGGAAGATACGAGTTATGTAATTTTCATTATAAATAAATGATGAGATAAATCAAAATTAAAATTGTACTTCATATTAAAACTTCATTATTTGAGGACATGTTTTAACTTTAAATTGATTTCTCTTTTTTTTCATTTATTTTTTATGTTTATTACCGCTTATTTGGAATCAAAGTATGAATCACATACTAAAAGAAAATAGACATAAATTTATTATTTTTAAGTTTTGACTTAAATTACGTCAAATCTTTCATACGAAGTCTTATTAGTATTGAATTTCTTTTAAAAAAAAATTCCAAAAAAAATACTTAATTGCTTATATAATCTCTATATTCAGTGATTATTTTTAGTTTAATACCAGCTTTTAAAAGTGCATAAATTGTGTCATAAAGTTAAAATTGTATAAATGAATCTTATTTCTTAAATTGGTAGCAACAACGATAACTCCATATATTAACATGATGAATAAATTAATGTTTTTTTTTCTCTCCCATGCTGTGTCCAATTTTTTTCTCTCTTCCATATTAATGGTTTCCAAAATTTTATTTTTTTATTTTTTCTACCAGTGAGTCAAATCCACTAATTTCTTTTATTATATTAACTTTCATGTTCTTTAATCTCTTCAATACTACTGCAACGAATTGCTTACCTATAATCAATAATTAATTAGCTAAACTTTCTACCAATAAACTACGCTTCCTTGTTTATTTTCTCACGCGTACACTTTTCCTATTTCTTTCACTCAACTTCTTAAATTGATAAATTCTAAAGTCACTCAAAAAAAGAAAAAATGAATTTATTTTTTTCATAAATTTAATTGATAAATTCACGCGTACACTTTCATAGTTTAATTAAATTTTATTTTTTCATAAAATTTAATTAAATTTATACTACTTCAATTAGTTTATAACTTACAACCTATTTAAATTGTTTCTATTAATATTCTTATCATTAAATACACTTTTTTTATCATTTTTAATTTTGTTTTAATTATCATTGTTTATTAGATTAAATTAAGAATTAAATAGAAGTATTTAAAAAAATACGAATACTATTATTTAAAAATCCTAAAATTATGTAACAAGATATTGTTATTTAGAAATAAAAAGAAATTCATTTGTATAATAAAAGTGAACATAATAAAGAAAAAATTAACGTATTTAACTATATTGTAAATATTTTAATGTAAAATTTGCATTTATATTATAAAATTAGTTGTCATAATTATTTTAATAATGTTTATTATTTTTATCGTTATTTTTTAATTATCTATTATTATTATTATACTAATAATAGTAATGGTACTAATATTTTTTAATAATATTATGACAGAGAATAAATATAACTACAAGTATACGTTTATGTTGAAGTCGTACATTAAAGATATCCAGATAATTGAATTTATTATCAACTGTTTGTGAAAATATTAATTTGTTGTATGTTTAAAATTTGTGGTTGATAAATAGGTATATTATGATTCATTAGTTCAAATTTTTTCACATTAGCTTATCTTTTCTTCTATTTTGTATGTAATGGTCTTCTTGACGGTATAAGCAAATAAATATGCTCTAACTAATACCCTGCAGAATGAGATTAGTGCAACAGCTTAGTTGAAAGTATAGTTTCGTTGTAAATTCTTTTTATTTTGAAAATTATAATATATGTTAGTATGTATATATATTAGTTTCTGTATATTTAGTACATATTTTATGGATGACTATATTATAATATAGTAGTTATATGATTAACTTTTTTACTAGTTGATTATTATATTTATAATGT